TCGTTACCCTCCAGGCCGACGTGTCCGGGAATCCAGACAACAACCACCGTTTTTCCAAGAGGCTCCAGCTCCGCGTATTTCTCTAACAAGAGCACGACGAGAGGGTCCACAGAGAACCGGTCGCGTATAGCCCAGACAGCGCTCAGAGAGTCGGTACATACGAGGAAGGCTGAGCCCTCCCCGGTCCGCACCGCCGCCAGAGCGTGGTGGCTACTCCCTCGCTATACACAGCAGGGGGAGGTCCGAAGTCGTCGAATGTAATGTACAATATGCTGCAAGTGCCTTTAATCAGTTCTCTCGGAATATAAGTGACATAGTATTGTTAAAATGTAATTTGTTAAAAACTGTAATCCCCACATCAGTAACCTACCGTGATTAGTTCTGAGCTAAATAGAGAATGTTAACAGTAACGAGAATTACTTAATACTTTCCAACTGATTATTCAGATATACTAATTAATTTATTACTGGATTTATAAAGATACTAGTAAAAATTTACATACTTCATAACGTTACTATAAACGACGACAAGAACATTATAATCTGATCAACTTGAAATTTAATTTAAAAAAATGACTAATTATCTAATAATGATTCTCGTGTGATCTGAATAGAAGAAGTGAGATCTTCACCTGACTAAGAATAGGCAATGCGAATATGACGTACGGACACTTAGTTCCGGGCAAAAGCACGGGTATGTGTCTGGCATGTAGAGAATGTTTGGAGAGAAGAAGATGTTTCCCTCAAATAATTTAAAATTGCAAATTATGGCAGTGCATTGTGCAATAGTTTTATCGATTAAATATTAAATAAAAATATATTTCAATATTATAAAATATTCCTTTCAAAATACTACTAATATTTTTACCACAAAATATCACTTTAAAACCAACCTTAATACACTTAAAATAATAAATAAATACACTTGTGAATTTCCCTGGTGGAACAAAAGGAGGATAATGTAAAAGAAAGAAAAGTATGAATTGTATTAGGACATTGAGTAAGTTAAGTCTAAATGAAAGTACACAAATCATTAAATGTACATATTTAATTATGACAGAGATTGTTGTCAGGCTTTACCATCAATGCATTTATTCTGTGCAATTACAAGGTAATGCATAAATAAATGTCAATTTCAAACATGCACGTATTATGCTGACCATGATATAGACCATGATGAAGCTTTGACGGTTAAGACATATCAGTTGTGTTTTTGCTATTAATAATATTCTACCTTTATAAGCACGATTTCATACTTTTCCGAGCAAATCATAGATTTGTAATAAAAACCTCAGACCAATATTGATCACGTGGTACGTTCTATTTGATGTTCCAAGATAATTTGATACGGTTAAAATGAGAAAACATGAAAAAAATATTAGACGAAAAGCACGGCCACATACCAATACGATTCGCTGTCCAAATATCAAAAGTAAATAAAAGAACTTTTTTTTGAGATAGTAAGTTTTTTATGCTTTTATCAGTATTAAAATTGACTACTTTTACGTTTATATATCATTTTATAAAATTTTGTAGCAGATTGTTGAGTCCAGATTATTAGATATTATACATATTATAGATATATAGTATTATACAAGGGTGTTCGGCTACTCGTGTTACAAACTTTGCAAGTAGATTCTACATTCAAAATGGAACCAAAAAGTAAAGTTCAAAATTTACTTAAGGTTTTATGTTTTATTATTATTAATCTTCCACCTTACCAATCCTTCCACCACGGTTTTTCCTTTCCTTCGTCAATATCTTCATCTTTGAAAAAATAATTAAAAAGATATTAGACCACGAAAAAGGATATTAAATGAAGAACGTTTGCTGAAATTTTCTGGTCTCTACGTTTGGAAATAGTAGATTAAAATCCCCATAGTAAGTTTTTCAAGTTAGAAAATAATTATTTTTCAATGTCCTGGCTACTAAAACGCTTATTTCACGAACGTTTAAAAATTTAGTATTGATCATATCTTATTCTAAATTTAACGTAGTTTTGTCCAAAATCTTTTAGTTTTGGATTTATCATTGTTTATTTAAAGCAAGGTCTTAAATCTTAAAAAATTAGAAAAGGTGGAATAACACTGAAACTGCTGAGATTCGGACCACAGTTAGCAAAGTTTGTAACACGAGTAAGTGAACACCTTGGATTGTCAAGTATATCACTAAAAATCTACATGAATAATAATCAAGTCCAAATTCCTACCAATATTTATGAATAAATACTCCAAAAATTGGTTCACACTCAAAAACAAGTTAGGCGATGTAACGCCAGACTGGTCTAGAATAACACACTAACGCATCCCTGTTTGAGCCATTTAGCAGAATTCCGCCCGGCTTCTCCTAAAACCGGAGAGAATGGGGCATTGTGCAATAAAATGAAATGTGTCCTCTCTTACAGCGGAATTGCGACAAGAGGACGATCAAGACTTTCTGGCTATTTACAAGACTCTCGATTAAATATAAATCCAGTTTATGATGTCCAATTATGAGACGAACCTATTGAAATTTTAATAATTTAAATTAGTTGAACTGCATTGACTATAATATACTTATATTAAAACAAACTTAAACAAATTTTTTTTATATCAATGCGAACATTATGAATATTAAGCAAAAAAATGTATCCTGTTGATACAATGTACCAAATTAAGATATTACAATTACCCAAATGTTTACAAAATTAAACACAAGACTTATTACTACTACTACTATATTTTATGTTATATTATGTCTAATAATAAAAGATAAGTATTTTTTAAATGTTCTTAATATCAGATTCATAGTCATAATTTTTAATACAGCATTGATTTAAAAAAAAAATTATTTTTGATTTCTTCGATTGAACAGTCTGTAGTCTAAAGGTCTGTAGTCTGTAGTCTAATTCAGTCTTTTGTCTTTCGGAAAGTAAACTTCACACAAGTCGGATATTGCTTTAGTAAGAGAAGGGCTTTATTTGTAAAATCGATCTTTAAAGTTCGTCGTACAGTTCAACACAGGTGGCGAATTTTATTGCCTCTTTCGAAATTTCAAGCCATATTGACACAGTTCGCTCATTGATTTAAACATTCAGCAGCAGCCAATTGTCCATAATACTAAAGCAATATATAAAAAAAATTTCAAAAGTTCATGTACATGAAACATTAAGTGTATATAATCATGCCATCATCATAAATTGGTTGGTTTATTTCTACAAAAAGTAAGAGGAATAAGCAGTATATTATTTTTATAAGTGTTGAATAACTGACTAATTTACTTCAAACTTCAACCCCCGGACGTATAGAAGGAATAGAACATAAAGGAAGGTATAGAAGAAAATGAACAGGTTGACCAACTAGCCAAATGGGCAGTCCTCTCACCCATGGGACCTGAACCAATTCTGGGTGCACCGAGAAATGTGTACTCAACTGGAAAAATTACTTGACAAAGAAAAATTCAAACAATGGACAAAAGCACCAGATATGAGGCAAGCTAAGAGATTTAAAAATCTTTCCGAGAGGAAAGTGAAAGAACCCCCCCTCTCTATCTCTGCTGGTAGGATTTGATAAAAATGTATCTATATAATATAAATATATCTTTGTACAGGCTACTGCCCTCGTAACTACCACCTAAAAAAGATGGACAAAGCAAACACAGAAACATGCCGACTCTGTTATGAGTAGTGAGACATCAGCACATATCCTTTATGAATGCGAATAATCCTCTCTACACTTCTTAACTCTTGATTTAATTGTTTGTTTGTTAATTGTTTTAATTCATGCAATGGTTGTGCGCGAAGAGGCACAGAGGAAGTGCTTAGTCTTATGGGAAAAATTGCACTTTCACAGGTATGGGTATAATTTATGGGGGTTCTGCAATCGATCTATTTAGGTCGGAGTAGAAGATAGGTTTGATATAATTCTATATTAAATAAAACCTAAAAAAATAATAACAATAACAAATTAAAAAACTGACAAATTTTAGACATTTCAATCAACATTAAGCCTACAATTAATTTCATTACATATTCAACATATAACATTATAACACTCTACCATGGATATGTAAGCTAATCCATTCCTAACCCTACCTTATCTAACCTGTTCATAAACGTACCTAACCAACCATAGCCCTAACCTTGACTTAACCATACATAATGTAGAGTTAGGTAATAGGAGGTCACAGGGCCTTTTGCACTTCGACCTGTGCTATACCTAAACGTAAGAGTCCCTAACCCTAACTCTAGCCAACGTAGCCCATTCGAAATGACCCTAACCCTATCTCTACCTAATTTAACCCTAATTCTAACCCTAACCGTACATAACAAAACATAAGCGTACCTAACCCTAACGCCAATTCTGGCTAACGTAACATAACCCTAACACAAACAATATTTGTTGAACTGTATTAAGATTTTTTTTTTTAACCAACGTCCCTATTCATTCCGAAAATAAATTAGTGCTCATTTCTACTAATTCATTAGACAGTGTCTGTATCAATTATTTCAAATTATCTTAAAAAGAGAAAACGTTGGTTTTATCAATTAGAAAAATAATCACCTCGCCTGTAGAGCAGAATTTCCGCTAATTTCTCAGTGGTAGACGGTGAAGTTTATTTTCAATTAAGGAACTCATTATCAGTCCGAGGTTTTTTTTTTTACGTCCTTTGTCGTCTAAAGAGGAAAAATAACCTGAGGCATGCCAACTTGTTAGATTTTTACGACATACTTTGCAAATGATTCAAAAGTGGGTCTTTTTAATTATACAGGCGTTAAATCAAATAAGCATAACAAATAGAAGAAAAGGTTACTTTATATAAGAGAACATACGTAATAATAAATATTAAAGTTTTACATAAATGAAGCACAGTTGAGTCATTTTGATCGCAATTAATCTTTTTTATGTGGTACGCTGTAAAGCGAAAACTGACTCACTTTGATGATTGCTTACGTTCAAATTTGTTATATTTTTTCTGAACCAAGTTATTTTATTATATGTCATTTTTAATTAATTGTTTCAGGTACATGTTTGACAGGGAAAGCGCCATCCGTGTGGATTCTAGAATCCAAGACGCCTTTTTTATCATGGCTGTGTCGAACTCGTGCATGAATCCACTTGTGTACGGTTCGTACGCAATGAACTTCAGAAGGGAGTGCAGAACGTGTTTCTGTTATCTTTTTCATTCGCACGACCAGCTACAGCGAAAGTCAACAGGTATTTACAATTTTTTTAAATATTTTGCAAATTAGGGTCGATATATCTAAAAATTCGATTTTGAAACCGTTATATATCTTCATTCAGCGTTTATGAAATATTTCAAAACTTAAAAACACATTGACATTCTCATGGAAATTAGTGTGTACTGTTTCTTTTATTTTTCATTAAAGACATCACTTCATACGACAGAAAAGATTCTCTTACGAAATTTGCGTTTTAACTGTCCTTGGCATGATAACCATACTTAAACTTTGGCATAACATTTAATCTATTTCTAAAGAAAAACTTCTCGGGATCATTAGTACACTTGGTTCAAAGGGATGGAAATATTGCAAACTTTACTCATCAAAGAGAAATAAATTTTATCCTTGAAACTACTTCTATTCGGCAGATAATGGATCGAAAATTTTACCACTTTACCCATCAAGTGCTTAATAGATAAAAACCCAAAATATTAAAAAATTATAGCGATATGATAAAAGAATAGACTCTAATAAAATATATAAAAATGCAGATAAGTAGCGAATAAGTTAGATTTGCATTGGTCATAAGCCTGTGTACCAATTTTAAAGGCAACGATTCGAAATTTTATTAAAAGTGCTTCAGAATTTTTAAACTTTTAAACAACATACGTTTCCAAATATTTATAAATTATACCGCAGCTAAGAATAAATAAGGATTTATGGGAAGTTCGCCAGTAGGCATCTCAGATTTTTCTTCTTCCACCAAATCCGTTTAATGTATCCTTTTTTTCCTATCTCGCGTGATTCTTATGGTCAACACATTTTTTTCTTATGTTAGACAGGAACAATCTTTATGAACAAATTTACCAGAAGTGACCAAATTATTATTCATTACCAAATGGGAGAAACGTAAAAATTGATTTTACAATAAATTTAACAATTTTCTACTTCCGTATAATCTTCAATCCAATCATGCACGATCACTTAATTTTCAATTTATATGTCAAACGATTGGCTAGATTAGTATTTAATAATGTTAAAAATTGACGCATAAAATGGGTTGATGTAGCAATTCTTTATGAGAAAAATAAATGCATTTATCCATGTTAAATTAAATATTAATTAAAGTTACATTCTAAGGGTTTTTCTTTGTCTGTAAATTTAGAAATGTCACGTCGCTTCTATTTCCCACCCGTTTTTTATTCAGGTTACCTATCGTTAAATTTCCCCGGTGAGAAATGTCTCATTCTATTTGCGTCTGATTAAGAGAGACGAAACATTACGCCAGGAATACGTTTCAAGAGAAAATTAGAAATAAAGCGTAACAGTGCTGTTTCTTTTACTCGAGTGATCACATCATTCATCACATTCACATTTCTTTCAGATTTAATTATAACATTAATTACTTTTTGTGCTGCAGAATAAATCTTTGTACGTCATGTACTGTTCCTTAAAAACGAAGTTTCATTATTAAAGAATCTGTTGAGATAATCATTAATGCAAACGATGTTGAATACGCTATAAAGACACAATTAATTTGTTTCCTATAAAGTGTTATTTGGCCTTCAAAATTCAAATATTGTTTACATGAAATATAGGAAACTGTTGAACAATGAATGTAGAAAAAACTCTGTATTTGAGCTTTTATAAAAATAAATAGATGAATTCACTTCATCTCTCACACTTCAATGAATTCACACTTCAGATGATAGAGGATTGCGGCAATTCATTACTTTTTACTTGAAGTTCTGATGTCGCTCCACTTAGTAGTTATTATTGTTTCATGAGAAAGATATTCTATCGAAAATTGTTAAACCAAATCTTTAAAAAACAACTAATCAAAAACAAAACTAATATATTCGTATATATCTCTCAAAAATGCTTTATATGTTGTACAATATCAAAATCAAGCAATGCTGTTCAAATCACCAATACAAAAGCCTAATTGAAATCTTGGATATACACAAACATAAAACATTTATCACTTAAACTGTCATAAACACATGAATTAAAAACAATTCGAGACTATCAGAACGACAGAACAATAAAATAAAAAAAGTTAAATCAACACACGCCCCACCTTTCCTGATCATATAAAACAGACTTGACTTCACAAAAATCACCCAGGCTAAACACAAGGATAGACAGAAAAGCATGATCGATAACGACCAAATTACAAATACCATTGAGCTAGAATGAATGCATAGAAAAATGGAGCCAATTACAAAAAACAACTAAATAAATTATTAAGAATAATAATAAAAATATAAAATAAATAATAAGAAGAAAATATGTAAGTCACAAAGCGAAACAAAGGAAAATGCAACAATGACTTCAGTGCCCTAGGATGATCCAGATAATTTATGGAATGGCCTAAGAATTGCTCAAATGATCCAGAGAGTACACTAAAATCACATAAATACGAGAAGGCTCAAGATAAGAAAGCTGTATGAATTTAGTTGGCATGAACATACATTGGAAAGAGAAATTAAGAAGGTCTCAAATTCTTTCATAACTTTTACTTTTCGCTGGGTCCAGTATTAATTTAATGTTGTTTAATTGCAAACAGCAGCAATTTATGTTATCCATGGATTGTCTGGATCATACCAGGTCATTGGTGAACTTTCCTGTGTATCTTTTTTATGCCGGTATGTATTTTCCTGTTATTATTTATTTTATTTCTATTATTTTTTTTTATTTTTTATAATCCTCACAAAATATTACGGGTAAGTGTAATTTAAATTGATAGTAGAGTATGCACATTATTTATATTTATATATTTTATCTTTTTGACCAGTTAGTCACTATTTTACACATTTTCATTATAGAATTTTGTATTTTTTTTGTATTTTATTTTCATTTTTAGTTTATTAGTGTATTACTTTTTCAAAAACCTTTCTGACAAAAAACATGTTACTAAACGTTACTGCAGGTCGTTGTGATTATTCACAAAGGTAATTATTAACAGAAACATTCCACCTTAGTTACGATGTAAAATTTTACTCTGGCAAACCACATGAAAGGGACATGAAATTCATTGTTTTCTATTTGCTTGTTCTTACCGAAAATGTTCAACCTGAGTTCTGGAAAACAAACATAATCTTAAATTTATCGTAATTCCAACGGTACTCAGAGACCGAAATAAACAAACATGAGTCTCGTAGCTGTCGCTTGTGCAAATCCTGTTTAAAACGTTTTCAACATTGTCTGGCTTGTCATGAGTTATTTCTATTAATTGTGAGTATTTTAAACCTGCAAATATGTAGTATAAATGTGTGAGGATTGTAAGTATCGAAGGAGACTGCTTTATTTACACATCTTGCATTGCATATGGCATAAGCATACAAAAATTTTATTTAAAAAAATATAGTTGCATGATGAAAAAAATGTTCGCACGACCTAACCAAATTTTCGTTTTCATGTCCTCAACATGTCATGTCCTCAACAATAATATGATGCATGTCCTTTTTAAAATTTCAATTTACTTATATAATTTTTTTTTACATTAAAAGGACATGCTATGCATAAAGGAAACACCCTTTAAATCTAAGGTCAGTAAATTTTACCAACTTTTTTAATTTAAATGTTTTTCTATTATCTAACAAATGTCCGCCATAATATGACTAGGTTTTATATATATATANCATTAAACAAGAAAATATGTTAAATATACTTATAGATGCAGATTGCTTAGAAGATTATGTATCTAGTTTAATTTGAAATAAACTGTTCAAACATTAGTAGAGATATTGCCAATGTTGCAATATTTACATTCCCTCGCATTTTTATTTTATTTTTATTTTGAATTGCATTAAAATTTATTAGAAATTATTATGCTATTTACTGAAAGAAAATTTAATTAAGGGATTTTGACAAATAACAAAGGTTTTAATTCCATAAATTTTGTTTATTGGACACAACATTTTTTAAACTATTAATACCGTGTATAATGCCCTCTATTAGCTAAAACCTCTACCGCGGATAAAAATGTAATATGCAGGATCTAACTTAATAAGATTAAATAAATTAAATGTTACATACACGAATAAACGTTACCAGTAAAATAAATCAAGCAAACATTTTTTCAACACTTCGGGTTCGTTCTATTTTGAACACCCTTGTATAAATATTTTCATCGTAATAAAAAAATAGATATTTTAGGGTGGATCCGCCATGGCGATTTCCTTTTTTTTTGCCGATGTTCGGTATTTAAAGGCTTTAAGGAATTCCATTTGAATTAAAGATTGTACTTCCTTTGCAAAGAAGAATATGTCTGCTTTCAGACTACATCAACGAGGTATAGAAATTAAACATTAATAAGAAAATTAAAGATTAAATAAAAACATACCATGTATTTTATATCTCCAGTTATAATTTAAAGTTTTTGTAATTTTAATCGATTTGCTAGACGCTTTAGAGGGGGTTTGCACTACACGTTGTTACCATATAGTAAAAAATGTAATATAAAATAAAACGTTTTATGTAATTTTGGTTATTTCATATCGATTTTGCAATTATAATTACATAAAATCTAAACCTTGGTAACATTATCTGACCATAGAACAATCCAATTTTCCAACACCGCTTATAAAGTTTATTTAAATAAAATCCACAAGAAGTGTATTTGTAAATGGAACAATAGTACACCGGTAAAGTAAAAAATTGCCTCGAACTAATCCAGCCCAAAACAGTATATTTTTTGTTTTACATAAAAGTCGTGTTTTAGTTAAATGGTGGTTAAAACGAACTAGAACTGGTATTCTTTAAAACTAATTTTTGTGAATTACTTTACTGGAAGAGGTTTATGATTTTTGTCTTATTTCATATAGAGCTTTATTTCATTTTAAATTATCCTGCATATTAGTTGATAATACTAGATAATGAAACAAATTAAATGATATACCCTGAGAGACAAAAAAAATTTGCCACCCTTCCAACAACACAATTCATAATTCCTGCAAATTCTTTGGCAAAACTGGCAGACATTTTACCCTCTTCGCCAACTAGTCGCAAAGGTGGTCGATAGGGTTTAACCGACTTAATTAGGCAGGCAACTCGAAACATAGAATTGAAGCCCGTTCCAAGTCGCCTACGATCCTAGTAGTGTGAGGCCTTGCATTGTCTTGCATAAAAATAAAACGTCGCAAATTAATGGTATATAAGGAACAATTTCTCTCACAGATCTAGCTACCCCTTCAGTGAATCGCACAGCTGTTAGGAAACCCTCGGACAAGATCAAGTTTGTGCGGCCTTCCATATAAATGTCCGCCCAAACCATAACACCACGACCTCCAAAGCTTCTAGTAGTGAAAATGCTGCGGGGGATATATCGTTCTCTTGTTCTTCTCCAAACCCTCTTTTGGGCGTCAGAAGCCTCAAAAAAAACCTTGACTCATCCGAAAACAATATTTTAGTCCAATCTTGCTCAGACAAATTGATGTGATTTCTTGCGAAACTTAACCGAGCTGTTCATTGACTCATCAGACCAATAGCAGTATCAAGTCATTGTTTAATCTCAACAGGGGTATAATTACTAAGTACATTCGAACACTCTGAGGTGTGACTCGAAGGCAACATGATCCATGCCTTCTTCACTAACCTCTAGTATTATCTCGCTAGCGAGGGAAGACTCTTCAGTCAGTTGTTCTGGGACTGTTCTCCATGGCCGGATACGCTTATGCCGCATCATCTTTCAACAATGCTAAGATTCTATCCGAATCTTACCACTTCAAGCCATCACTCAAAAAAATTTGAAACTTAAAAATGGTACAACTTAAAAAAATCAGGACGTTGGAAACAAGCTTTACAGGAAACTAACCAAGATGAGATTAATTTTCAAAGATTTATTTACAAAATCCAATTATAAACATAAATGGGGCATTTGCTCTGTTTTATTTACCTCTAATCCTTTATAACGAACGAAATATTGTTGTAAGTAAATCCATGCAGAACTGTCTAAAATATAATTAAATATATTAAGAGTGGCCAATATTTTTGCTTCTCAGTGTTTAACAACGTTGAACAATGTTCATAACAAGGCAAAAATCAAACAACTAGGTAAATTACTTTTTTTCTGCTCCTACAGCTCAATAGCAAGAACTATCCTACATGTTTGTAATATGCTTTGTCTCAGATTAGCAAAAAAAGGATTGTTTTATAAATTTCACTTCCGTTGCATTCCCAACTTAATTGAAATTTAACCATTGAATTTAATTGAAATTTATCACAAAAATAAACTAACCTGTCGTTTCTTACTTCTTTTACTTTATTTTTAGTATTTTTATTCTAATTAGTCATGTACAAAAAAAATTATCAAATATTCTTTATTTTTATGTTTTTTAGACTATAGTTACAATATTTATACTAAATATTTATAATTTATGTTGCACGACATATGCGTCTGAACGATGAGATACTTTTGTCAAATTTTTTTTTAATTCATCGTTTAATGAAACACGTGCACACTCTGGGAAAGGGCTTTTGACTTCATGAATATGTTATTACAACTAATTATATTATACAAGTCTGATCAGGATGTATTGGGAAGAGAGGGATCGGGATGCCCGCTGCCGGGCTGGGGCGCTTTGGGGTTCTGGAGGTTTATGGTCCCGAGCCCATTATTCAGCTCCTCGAAAAATATACATATATGGCCAATCAGCTCAGTAATGAAAGCCAAAAAAAAAATCGTTTAATGAAAATTATTTACTTCTAGTTTTTTTATTAGCCTGAGGTTTAAATGTTCACAAATCTAATGATAAATCACGTTTTCTTAAATTAAACTATAGGTACTCATAATCCCCGTAATACTTCTCTTTTTTTATTCACTCTCTTATTATTTACAGGTAATACATTATGAATTTCTTAAGTAAAAGTAATGAAAAAGTAATTGTTTGTTTTCAGACCATGATTTACAAAAAAAGCAAGATAAAGTAACAAATAAGCAAGCACCCTAACCTGGCACACATAAACTTTGGTGCTTACGCCTAACTGTGCCATTATGTGAACGTTATGCGAAATCTTCAAATTTACGCATCGTTAATCATAAGACTTTTGCACATAACAGAATCCATTACGTAACAGTTGTTCGAAATTATACAACTAAATGACAATCTTCCGTCAGTATATATTACAAATTAATTATGAGCTGTAGTGTTGGAAAAATACAACTAACTAACTACAAGTTAAAACTATGATAGTATCCAAAGAATAAAAAATTATTTCTTTTTCTCATATTAAATTTCAATTAAAGTTTTATTTTCCATTTGCGTGTTCAAATAAGATTAAGGTCAGAATCACACTCGCTTTACGATTGCAAGTAACGCTTTGAAAAAGCAGATCATCAAGTTATTTGAGGAGTGAACGTTAAAGTTTCATTTTTAAAAAAATACACGTATTTATATTGAAACGATTTATATTGAAAAATTTTAGACGATAGTATACACAATAGTATGCTACAAAACATTCTAATAAAAAACAAATTAATTCACCGGCTTCTATGTTTTTTATTTATAGCAGATTATATAGAATGATCAATTTGATCATCATTAATCTGCAGAGACACCATCACGTGTAACATAAATATCCAATTTGTCTACCTCCATCAATAACATCACCTTACTGACGGAGGTATCGCGATATAATAATTTATAAAATTATTAACGCTACTAAACTTTGATTTTGAATAAGTTCAACCCACGTTTTCGAATATGTATTAAAAATGTGTTTTTGAAATTTAAATTCTTAGATTTATCAAATAAGCTCTGTTTATCGCTGCGCCCTATTTAGGAATCATTTACACGAATTAGATCCCAAGAATATTTTATAAATAATTCATGAACAATAATTTTCATGTGGATTTGCATACCGCAATTAAGATGATCTGGATTAAAGAAACTGTAGCTTGGCATTTAGTATATAACGAAGCTTATCTACAAACCAGGTCTCACTCTTTCACACAAAAACAAAGAAAATATTTATAAAATTCATTTAAATGGACAACTCTCTATTATTTCATTTCTTTTCGTTTGCTTGACTCGATTAAATTAAATTGTTTTTTCTGTTCAGAACTAAAGATAGGTATTTAAATAAAAAAGTGCAGTTTTAGTTTCTAACCTGCTTATAATAATTCTAATATTAGAATGTGTGCATTATCAGAACTGCATAAATACTGCCTGTCGGACACTTACGAACGCAATAGATTACCATACTGCATGAGTCTCATTAATCATCTTTTAATATTAAGCTAACATAAAATCATCATTACATCATTCATGTCTACTTAGAAATTACTAAAAAAAAAAATAATAAGTTACTTTTATATATTATTTGTTTTATATATTTATTTTGATTTATTTATACCAAGACTGTTGTTTAAAGTTTAATTCCTCGATAAATTTTTTTATCATTTTATTGGCATGCTAGTGCCTGAATTTTTGTTAGTGGGCAAACAATAAGAAGTATTTCCCTTCCAGATGCCGCACACACTAGAGGAGTACTGTATGTTCCTAAATGTGTTCTCACCCTTGTTAAAGGTAAGAAATTAACGAAAAAGAATATCACGATAATTATTTATTTTACCCTTTCTTTATTATTCTTTTTATTTTATTTGTATTTTACCTTGAATTTGAATTTCCTCTAAGAAAAATAGGTTTTGAGATTTGCTTTATCAGAAAAGGCTTTTTTCGATTATTTTTTTCTTGTCTTATTTATACAGAAAAGCATGAAATCGAATTAAGATATTTATGTTTGGTTTTGTTTGTAAGCAAAAGAATGTGCATGTTGATTTAAAAAAGTTTATTTGTAAATGTTTTACATGTTCTAAGAAATTAAAATGACTGAAACATATTTTTTTAACTTATCCTGTCAATACGTTTTCCCTGATTAAACCATATTGCGTACAAAAGAACATAATTATCTTTTTCTATTTTCTTCAAAGAATTCTAAAGAAAATCTAAGCAAACTCAAAGAAAAATCCATTATATTTAGTGGTCTATTATTGACCAAATTACTTCTATCAATTAATTAATCTTTTTATGTAAGGTTTTGGTTGAAATGTTCAAAAATGGCAAAAAGAGGTAAAATTCCAAAGGTTGTAGGTTGAGATGGGAAGTTGGTGTCCGAGTGGATCGTAGTCACGATAGCTCAAGTGTAGAGCAGCGGCTTATTTAGCCGAAAGTCATCGGTTCGAATCTCGCTCGTGGCACTAACTTTTTCATTTCAACCAAACCTTACATAAAAAGATTAATATTTGTTTAATTTAAATAACAATTCAGTATGGTACATATGTTATTAATTATTTTATTTAAAATATTTTTTAAAACTGCTTTAGGTGTATTGACACACCAGAGTACTAATAATAAAAAATTAAGTTTTGCTCAATATTTTTTTTAATTTACATTTCACGGCTACACTATAGGCTAAACCGTCATGAAAAACAAGTCTTGCGGAACTGATTATCTATACCCTCTCCAATATTGTGGACGGAAATGGTCACAATTGAGAGTTGGAAATATATTTTTTCGGTTTTAATAATTTTGATTAGTTTGTGTTAATTTTGTAAATTAGATCATTTACAAATTTTTCAATCCAAAATTTTAAAACTAATTGTTTCTGCCCCTTTTTACGTAAACTTTAATTTTAACAAATAACTTTTCAGATATATTTGCGTAAATTCACGGACGGAAAAAATAAAACTGTATCTAAATTTTATCAAATTTAAAAATCAAATTACAATATATAAGGTATAATGGTTAGGAGTAAATACAGCTATGAAAAAATATACATTAAACAATTTTCACTTAGGTCTTTAATTAAAAAATGATTTCTTAAATTAATTATATTAAGGAGACAAATAGCCAAATTAGACTTGGGAAGATAAAAGGTTTTATAGAAGCTTTATTCATCAAAGCTTTTAGAGCCAAACAATATTTTCCTGCTCGTTTCTGTTTCATAATTTTCCCATTTCACTTTGACACGGTTTTGCTTTCCGATTACTCGTTCAAGATTCTAAAGTTTGTCCAGCTATCGAAAGATCTATTTAAAAAAGGTAATTTGAACAATGTTAATATAAATTCGTAAAAAATGTAAGGTGCTCTTTGTAATTTTGAAAATTAAAAATATTTTTAAAATAGATTTTAAAAAATAGCAAAGACAACAATTAACTAGTGATAAAATTCGTTTACACAAGTTTTATACTAAGCAGATATCTGTAAAATCTTTTCATCAAAATGTTGATTAAACTGATGTTACAATGTATGCATATATACAACATACAACAAAGCTTTCGAGGACAAAATGTTTTGAACTTTAAGTCACAGCATTCATTAGAAATAAAAAATAGCGCGTAATTTAATAGACCATATGTACAGTAATTATATATACCTATTGGAATATATTGGAGATATACAACGTAAAGCCAAAAACATACTGCAAACTACAAATTTGCCTAGGGTTCTACTACTTAGAATATTCGACGAACGATAATGAAATATAATTTTCCAATAATAATCATAACTTTAATGTACATACAGCGCTCGTTAATGAAACAAAGTTACAGTTATTCAAAAATTTCTATATGTAATTAACAACTTATCAAATTAGCCTTAATACTCAGTAGTATATTAAAAAACTGCGGCTTTTAAGAATAGAGTAAGTTCAAAACTTAAGGACCTAAAATTCATAAAGGCACTGTAGTATATAAACTGAATTACCACTCAATGTTGCCACATACTTTGACAAAACCGAGCAACAGCAATCTTGCCACAAATCGTACAATAGAAATGCAGATGGAGGTGTGACTGGGCTATCGGGCATTTTCTCCTACAAGTGACACAGTTATGACTGGTAAAATCTGTTTATTTATTTATTTTTTTTACGAGGGTTCGCAACAGCAGGGATCATATCAACCCTCAGAGTGCCGGTGTTTTTGAAAAAAAAAGCCCATTTGTAAGTATGTCTGTTTTGAATCCATCGGACTTAACAGTGATGAGCGCCGTGTCAACGCCCAAACCGTTGCGGCCACCGACGCCGCAAACTCTCTTTATTGTGGCCAATATTTAGGCAGAAGATTAATAAATGAAATCATATATACATCAATATACATTATAACTAAACTATAAAAGGTCTGAGAGTTTTATGCAGTCGAATATTAACATATCCAAAACAGTATTTATAATACAATAACTATTGATTAATCATCAAATCATCCATCAGTTTAATTATATTTTTGTAACTATTATAGGTATTTTAACTATAATTTAATGATTTAAAATCTTAGATTAATTTAGGATAAATAGATACAATAAATAATCTGGAGGTTACAATTTCAAGATAAAATAAGTAAGTTCGTTCCACTATCCATTTGGAAATTCATGAGGTTTGAACCCATAAGTTTCTGAATACAAGTAGTTATTCATATTGGTAAACTTTGTAAATCATTTAGTTGTTTCATTAAGTAGTAATGCAAACAACTTTATACAACAACGTAAAACGATGTAACATGTGTCTGTCCTAAACTAATTACATGGTGATTACATTAATGTTTTGGAATTTCTGCTATTTTAAATTTAATCTAATTTAATATAACATAATTATTTTATTTTTCAATAATTTAATAAAATTTCATTCAATTTATTTTATTTTATGTGGTTTAGGTTGAAAAGAATTTATGCTGGGTTTTAAAAATACTCATTCATTTATTTTGTGTTCAAATCTTACACCTTTTTTTTAATTTCTAAGCCTCCGAGATTTTCTTTAAATGTCGGTGTCTATCATTGTTTGCTTATGATCCACAACAAAATAAAAAATCCGTTAAATATGATGAAGAGTTTTGGAAAAAGAGGTACCGAAATGTGAAAAAAAAGATGCCATTTTCTGGTCGAGCTGAAGCATTCCCGTTGCCTAACTTACGCTGTATAAATGTTACGTACCATCATCAATTATAAGGAACATTATTCATGTACACTCAAAAACAAAACAACTTGTATTTTGTTGTTTATTTCAAACTGAATGTATACTTTTTTATCGTTATATTAATTAAAGCATACTTATTTTAATCTAAACCAAATTAAACGAAATCATAAATTCCGGAATTTTAATAAAAAATATGTAATTTTTATGTTTTGAAAAAATTCACCAAAACAATGCAAAATCATTTAGATAGATTAAAATTTAATTAATAATCACTAAATGATTTTCCACCATTTTGGTAAATTTTCTTTCCAACCATAGTAATTAAATAATTTTTATTAAATTTCATGAATTGCTGATCTCAGTTTAATTTCGTTTACATTTAAAATAAGTATGATATAGTTAATATAAGAATACATTTTATACAATTGAAATAAACAACAAAATACGATCTTCCTTTTTATTTATTTTATTTTTTTAAATATAAGTTTATATGGATATCAGAGGTCTCTAATTGATCATTGTTGTATGAATTCCTCTCAAATTCCTTATGAAACTAGTTTTAGATTTATTATTCCATTATCTATACTGTTGGGTAGAATATTGACCAGCTATCAAACTTGATCCATCATCCTGTATACAGGGAGAGCGAGTACGGGTACGGGAAAATTGATGGTAGAATACTATTTACTTGTGTGTGGAGAAATGGGAAGTGAAAATTGAGGTATGATTACAATTCTGCAGAATATGTATTTTATTAAGAAGGCCGTGAATAAATATTATATAAACCATTTTCTTCTTTCAGAGAGGGCATCTGTTGTAATTGTAAGTTAAAAGAACTTGTTTTGAAGCGGATTGAGACTAATTTTAGGAATTTCCCTTGTAACTTTTGGGTGTTGATATTAGTAATGGGGATTAAAAAATTAGCATACTCTAGAACTGGTCGGACTATAGAAGTATATAGATCGGATGACATGTGAACTCATGGGAGGATTTATAAAGTAAAGCTAGCTGTTTGTACGCTTTTTGCAAGTGGTTTTTATGTGAAGTGTGTGGTGATTAGTGACCGTTAATCGATAATTATTCAGAAATCGTGAGATGCGGTCTAGTGTGATGTAGATTTCAGAAAAACATTTTCTTTAACGTGCCAACGTTTCGATCTTTATTGAGATCATCTTCAGGGCCTGGGATTTACAAACATTGTTTACATTAAATTCACTAATTTCGTGGTCCGCTTGACCAATTAAATCATTACAATTAATTACGGTTTTTAGTTGAGATGAAAAAAAATTAATGGCACGAGAGGGATTCGAACCCACGATCTTTTGATACGCCGCTGCTCTACCACCTGAGCTATCGTGACCTCTATCCACTCGGACATCAACTTCCCATCTCAACCCCACCTTCTGAGTTTTCCCTCCTTTTTGCCAATTTTCAAATGTCGTGTAATCGAATTGGATTCTCGGTCACAAAAAATAGCCACGGAGAGCTTTAGTGAATTAGACGATCGATTACACGACACGACGAGCTCATGTGGTAGAGCAGCGGCGTATCAAGACGAAGGTCGTGGGTTCGAATCCCTCTCGTGCCATTAACTTTTTTTCATCTCAACTAAAAACCTTAA